CTGTGTCAACAAGCCACTGAGTGTTTCCCAAGCAGGTTTGTCATGGCCACAATTTGCTGCAGGATTTCATCCATCAGCAGCAGTGCATAGCTGGTGGCATGGTGTGTTGGTCCTGGGTTTAACCTTTCCCTGCTGGCATGTAGCAGAGTGTTGTAGTTTTTGTGGAGGATCAAAATATGGAGAAGGAGAAGTCCATCCTGTCACTGCTTCAACTCCTCTCCACTTTCACCTTCAGATGAGTCAGAGTTGGATTCTAGATGGTCTGTATCTACCACTGAGGCCTCCTCCATGTCAGCTTCAGTCCTCAGAGGAGGATGAGGCATCACCTTCACAAATATTGTGCACAATCATTTCCAGAGCCTCCTGTAAAGTGGCTCTGCTGCAAAGTCTTGCAATCTCCAAACTGACAGCTCTTGCACTACTGACCATACTTTAACCATGGGTGCAGTGCAAAACACTGTCAAATTTTGTTTTGGTTCTTGCTGCTGAGAGATCTTTAAATCTCTGACAGGTTACTGATCATTTACTGTTATTGAATTAGTTTATAAACCCGAGCGTCACCTTCTAAGAGAAAAAACTTGAAGGTGAACATCTCTATCTCTCTCACTCACACTCTCTCTCTCTCTCTCTCTCTCACACACACACACACACACACACACACTTATCATTTTAGTAGCAAGGCACTCTTGCAGAAAATAGAAAAAGTGTGAAATGTGCATGCTTTGAATGGTAAAAGGTGGAAAACATAAAAATTAAAAATTGAAGGCAAGTAGTCCAAATTAAAATCCTAACATAAAGGAATGCATTAGTTAATGTCAAGATAAATGTGGGATCATGATTGATGATTTTCAATGGGGCATTTTTGGGCTTTAGGATAAAATTTGGCCGTTTTTGCACAGCTTAGCCATTTTAAGCTAATTTAAGGAACTGAGGCAACAATTCTAAAATGAAAAAAACAAAACAAAAAACAAATCACCTGGAAAAAATGAGCTATATTTATTCAGCACAGCCAAAACGGCATGAAAAAAAAAGAAAGAAAATGGAGTGGCACAAAATGTCCCCAGGCTCATCTAAGGTGTAACGGAACTAACCATGCTTGTAAAGAAGACCATATTTATCTACTGGGTTATATTCCTTGTCCCTTCTTTATTAATGAAATAAATCAATATTTATTTAGATTTAACAAGAGTGCAAAGAGTAGTTTGTGTGAAATAAGTCAGAGATAGACAAAGCTCATGTAAATGCATAAAAAGGAGACTGATTGTTAAAGCACTTAATACAACATTAAAAGGGGAAAAGTTAATAAAAAAGGAAGTGAT